GATATATCCCCAGTCTGTGATATCCCTGGCTGGATGGACGATATATCCCCAGTCTGTGATATCCCTGGCTGGATGGACGATATATCCCCAGTCTGTGATATCCCTGGCTGGATGGATGATATATCCCCAGTCTGTGATATCCCTGGCTGGATGGATGGATGATATATCCCCAGTCTGTGATATCCCTGGCTGGCTGGATGGATGATATATCCCCAGTCTGTGATATCCCTGGCTGGATGGATGATATTTCCCCAGTCTGTGATATCCCTGGCTGGATGGATGGATGATATATCCCCAGTCTGTGATATCCCTGGCTGGATGGATGATATATCCCCAGTCTGTGATATCCCTGGCTGCATGGATGATATATCCCCAGTCTGTGATATCCCTGGCTGGATGGATGATATATCCCCAGTCTGTGATATCCCTGGATGGATGATATATCCCCAGTCTGTGATATCCCTGGCTGGATAAATTATATATCTCCAGTCTGTGATATCCCTGGCTGGATGGATGATATATCCCCAGTCTGTGATATCCCTGGCTGGATGGACGATATATCCCCAGTCTGTGATATCCCTGGCTAGAGGGATGATATATCCCCAGTCTGTGATATCCCTGGCTGGATGGATGATATATCCCCAGTCTGTGATATCCCTGGATGGATGGATGATATATCCCCAGTCTGTGATATCCCTGGCTGGATGGACGGTATATCCCCAGTCTGTGATATCCCTGGTTGGACGGATGATATATCCCCAGTCTGTGATATCCCTGGCTGGATGGATGGATGATATATCCCCAGTCTGTGATATCCCTGGCTGGATGGATGATATATCCCCAGTCTGTGATATCTCTGGATGGATGGATGATATATCCCCAGTCTGTGATATCCCTGGCTGGATGGATGATATATCCCCAGTCTGTGATTTCCCTGGCTGGCTGGATGGATGATATATCCCCAGTCTGTGATATCCCTGGCTGGATGGATGATATATCCCCAGTCTGTGATATCCCTGGCTGGATGGATGATATATCCCCAGTCTGTGATATCCCTGGCTGGATGGATGATATATCCCCAGTCTGTGATATCCCTGGCTGGATGGATGATATATCCCCAGTCTGTGATATCCCTGGCTGGATGGATGATATATCCCCAGTCTGTGATATCCCTGGCTGGATGGATGATATATCCCCAGTCTGTGATATCCCTGGCTGGCTGGATGGGTGATATATCCCCAGTCTGTGATATCCCTGGCTGGATGGATGATATACCCCCAGTCTGTGATATCCCTGGCTGGATGGATGGATGATATACCCCCAGTCTGTGATATCCCTGGCTGGATGGATGATATATCCCCAGTCTGTGATATCCCTGGATGGATGGATGATATATCCCCAGTCTGTGATATCCCTGGCTGGATGGACGATATATCCCCAGTCTGTGATATCCCTGGTTGGACGGATGATATATCCCCAGTCTGTGATATCCCTGGGCTGGACGGATGATATATCCCCAGTCTGTGATATCCCTGGCTGGATGGATGATATATCCCCAGTCTGTGATATCCCTGGCTGCATGGATGATATATCCCCAGTCTGTGATATCCCTGGCTGGATGGATGGATGATATATCCCCAGTCTGTGATATCCCTGGCTGGATGGATGATATATCCCCAGTCTGTGATATCCCTGGCTGGCTGGATGGATGATATATCCCCAGTCTGTGATATCCCTGGCTGGCTGGATGGATGATATATCCCCAGTCTGTGATATCCCTGGCTGGATGGATGGATGATATATCCCCAGTCTGTGATATCCCTGGCTGGATGGATGATATATCCCCAGTCTGTGATATCCTGGATGGATGGATATATATCCCCAGTCTGTGATATCCCTGGCTGGATGGATGATATATCCCCAGTCTGTGATATCCCTGGCTGGATGGATGATATATCCCCAGTCTGTGATATCCCTGGCTGGATGGATGATATATCCCCAGTCTGTGATATCCCTGGCTGGATGGATGATATATCCTCAGTCTGGGATATCCCTGGCTGGATGGATATATCCTCAGTCTGTGATATCCCTGGCTGGATGGATATATCCTCAGTCTGGGATATCCCTGGCTGGATGGATATATCCTCAGTCTGTGATATCCCTGGCTGGATGGATATATCCTCAGTCTGTGATATCCCTGGCTGGATGGATATATCCTCAGTCTGTGATATCCTTGGCTGGGATATAATTTATTCCCCAGATCCACACGAACAAGCAGCAAGGGGCAGACTGTATCCTACTTATTGACAGGTAAATCACGTTCCGTATAGAGACAGGAAGGACCATCTGGATCTAACTGGGTTTATAGGGGACTCGTGGAGAATGGCGTGTTCCATACATCCTCACTAGTGACAGAAGTAGGTCCTTATTCTATGTTACCCCCCAGGGGAATTCGCCAGCTCAGCAGTCACAGGGTCTTGCAAACGCACACCTATTTATTGTTTTAAAGGTAAATATGGCGGTGTGATACCACAGGGCTCTTTAACATTTAAAGTTTGGCATCTACAAAACAATAGCAAACGGACACAGAGAGAAGCTGTGAAATGGTTCCGGAACAGAATCCACAGTTTGTTTTAAAAAAACAAAAAAACCTGTGAATTGGGAAATTTAGACAAAAAGCTTAAACTGGTAATGTGCTCCAAATAAGTTAATTTTCCAACTTGTCTGGTTTTCCTGAAATCGTCAATTCTTATTCTCAAAGAGAATTTAAAATTTAAGGCCAGAGTAGCCGAGCTGACTTAGAGAAAGTTTCCTGTTCGGCTAGTTTCATCTTGACTTTGAAATTCTCACTCCAGTGACTGAATCTGTCCATTCCATTCTTTAACCCTTTCATTAAACAGAGAATGATGGTGAATTGAAACACCACAGGAAAACAAATGTAGGCATTCGGTTGGAATAATTTTCCAATTATCACTAATAATTAATTCAAAGTGAATTTTAAATTTCCGAACAAAATAGTGATTTATGTTTTCAGTCCAGCAATATTGGGCTCCAATTTAAAATTCTCTTTGATTATTTCCCTTTGAGTTACGGACAAGTCACACTTTAGAGCAGGCTTCCCCAAACTCCGGCCCTCCAATGTTGCTGAACTACAACTCCCATGATTCTCAGCCTATTTCATTCCTAGAATCATGGGAGTTGAAGTTTAGCAACATTGGAGGGCCGGAGTTTGGGGAAGCCTGCGTTTAGTGTATAACTCTGTAGCTCACGGCTTTTCTGTTTCAGCATAAACCTTACAACTCGGGATTCAATTCCCCTAAATTTGATGTTTTAGTGAGTATGCCTGCATATTATCAGGAGTGCGGTGGGGTTCGTTGATTTTCCATTATAATAAGGCAAGCGTAGAGTAGTTTCAGACGATATCCACTAAATAGTTGTAATTTATAATATTATAAATGATCAGTCAATCCCTATCCATTTTCACTTTGCTCTATGTTTTCTTGGTAAATATTGTCCTAACTAAGCATTAAACAGCTCGGTGACCTTGTAGCAGTATCTCCCATGAAGCAGGCAGGTTGGATCTGAGTGGAAGGTATGTACGCCTGGACGCAGTGTGGAAGCTAAGTCAGCACTGCAACGTATTGCTGAATATCATGTTACCGCTCAATAGATGTGCCAAAATATAGAGATCGTTCATTTCTCGGTTTATTTTTTTAAACATTTTCAATATTGAGAACTGCAGTTCAGGAACTGAATTAAAGCGAGATAAAAGCTTGTTTGATGAGGTTTTCTAGAGCAAAATTGGACCCATTATCTTCACAGCCTCCCCTCTGTTCCAACCAGCATATAATGGGCACAAAACAGGGGATTCCGAGAATGGGCCAGGGAATTCCAGATCTGATGCCAAAGTAGCCAAGCTGGAGAGGTTTTCGAGTTCAGCTAATTTGTTCTATTATTAACAATTCCCATGGTCGATTCCCACACCACCCATTTTATTGAATAACCCCAGGACCGATCACACATGGTACTGGAACTATGCATAGGTGACCAACTCAGCTGTAACACGTTGGTGTAGAGTTACAGAAATATTCCAATTATAAACCTATCGATATGGCAAACGTGGCTCTTTGTTGGCAATATTCGTGGCATATTTCACCTATCGGCATCTACTGAAGGGATGTATCCTACTTATATGAAGGGGCAGCCAGCCCACATACAAAGAATGAGTTCATCCTATAATTCGGAGATAGCATACCATGGCAGTGAAAAATGCCCACAATCTCTAGCACAATGAAAGGCTGCATGTGATTTATGAGGGATGCAGTCCATATAGAGTTCTACGATTAGTCATTTCTGCTATAAATGTACTGGGGATCAACGCATCTCCGCAAATAATGAAATCAGGGATCACTGATCAATGTGGATCCGGCTTGTACTTTATTAAAAGCATTCAATAATAGTACATAGCATACGCCTACCTGTTCCCCAAAATACTTACGGCAAGTAGGGCAGGTGAGCTTGGCACCCCAGCAGATGTTGGCACTAGGCTTCCCAGAATCCCTTGCTAATTTGAGCAGTGCCAACATCTGCCTCTATATGGAAGCATTTTGGGGAACATTTGGACTGTACAGTACTAATGAATGTATTATTCACACACTGGAGGGTCAGAGCTGGAAAACCCAGCTGATAAATAGTAGGGAAGAACAGATTCCTGCTGGAGACAAGAAGATCTCCATTCAATAAACAGTGACTTATGTATGGTTTACAACCAATTTGAACATTTTACTAAATAGCAGATATGCACAAATCATTTCTGAATTAGGTTATTTTTTCTGGAAAGTGCTAAGGGTTCGGACGTCACTGTATAATTAATAAACCCTAAAGTCTGCGGCCGTAGGAAGCAAGCATGAAGACATTCTATTTTTCCACTGAAAGTTATAACTACCTGCATCAGTCATGCAACAGGTGACACGTACACACAGCCATCTTTAAATCCCTGCACAAAGCATTGTGGGTAATCCCTTTATTATGGTTCTCTGTGCCAATTTTCCCATTTCACATGGTCCCCTAGATTGCAAGCTTTGCAGACAAGCTCCTCACAACTTGCTGAATTATAACCAATTCTAATAATTATAAAATATATTTTTTTAATCTCACCTTCTCAATCTTCTCCAGCCAGCCCTTGTTCTGGGAGAGCTCCGCCATGAATGCCTGGTGCTTCAGCCATTTTTTGTGCGGTCTTTGCGCCAGGTCTCGAGAGGTGTCCCTCGCCATTAGCGTCTTCTCGCTGATCCATGCGTCCAGCTGGAAAGGGTATTAGAGATCAGGTTCAGGTAAGAGGTACCAATTGTTAGGGGTTGGTGAGGCCTGGGTAAGGGTAACTGGGGTGAATCTGGGGGTGTGGGTGGCAGGGGTCGAGCACCCCTAATCATCCTGACATTAGGGTGTTATTAATAAAGCAAGCCGTGATAGTGGTACGTCGTATGAGGCGAGCGTGAGAATGAAAGAAGGAAAGAAAAGTGAAAGACGGAGTGAAGGAAAGGATGAGTTGGGGAAGGGATGGAGAGAGAGAAGGAAAGGATGAATTGGAGAGAGAGAAGGAAAGGATGAATTGGAGAAAGAGATGGAGAGAGAGAGAAGGAAAGGATGAGTTAGATAAAGAGATGGAGAGAGAGAAGGGAAGGATGAATTGGAGAAGGTATGGAGAGAGAAGGAAAGGATGAGTTGGAGAAGGGATGGAGAGAGGGATGTAACAGACAGCGGGAGGGAGGAGAGAGGGATGCAGAAGAAAGGAATGAAAACAAGCAGCAGCGAGGGACCCCCAGTAATGGATGTGTCAGTGCCTGGCAGTCCTGCTGCAGGTGCTGGCAGTGTGCAGTGTGCTGTGTGATGCTGTTTGCTGCAGTGAGCTCCTGTATCGCCTGCCAGGGGAGGGATGGCTCCTATGCACAGCAGGCCCCTGGGCTAGTGGGGGCACAACGCTGGGAGTCCCTGCTATACTGACACATGGTCGCTGGCTGAAGGCATTCTCCCACCAATGCACAGATACGATGGGACAGACGAATTATCCCACTGCAGTGAATGGGGAGAGTGGGGGAGGATCCAGCAAGCTCTGCGTCATCTCCCCCTCCTCCCTCCTCTCACTCTCCTCCCTCTATCAATACATCTCTCTATCCCTCCTCTGATTCTCCTCCCTCTATCAATACATCGCTTCATCCCTCCTCTGACTCTC